AATGGGAGGCCGTACAGGGACCCATGAGACACTCTGGACCTGGCAGCAGCATGAGGAGGCGGTACAGGGGCCCATGGCAGATTACGGGCCTGGCAGCAGCAATGGGAGGCCCGTAATCTGCCCAGCACCCTATGACAAAAAATGGAACCCACCAGCAGTGTGAGGAGACCTGAAAGTGGCACATGGCAGAGTGTGGCGATGGGAGACAGCAGCAATGGGAGGCCTGTACAGGGACCCATGAGACAGACCTGGACCTGGCAGCAGCATGAGGAGGCGGTACGGGGGCCCATGGCAGATTACGGGCCTGGCAGCAGCAATGGGAGGCCCGTAATCTGCCAGCACCCTATGACAAAATGGAACCCACCAGCAGTGTGAGGAGACCTGAAAGTGGCACATGGCAGAGTGTGGCGATGGAGACAGCAGCAATGGGAGGCCGTACAGGGACCCATGAGACACTCTGGACCTGGCAGCAGCATGAGGAGGCGGTACAGGGGCCCATGACAGATTACGGGCCTGGCAGCAGCATGAGAAGTCGGTACGGGGGCCCATGGCAGATTACGGGCCTGGCAGCAGCAATGGGGAGGCCCGTAATCTGCCAGCACCCTATGACAAAATGGAACCCACCAGCAGTGTGTGAGGAGACCTGAAAGTGGCACATGGCAGAGTGTGGCGATGGAGACAGCAGCAATGGGAGGCCGTACAGGGACCCATGAGACACTCTGGACCTGGCAGCAGCATGAGGAGGCGGTACGGGGGGGGGCCCATGGCAGATTACGGGCCTGGCAGCAGCAATGGGAGGCCCGTAATCTGCCAGCACCCTATGACAAAAATGGAACCCACCAGCAGTGTGAGGAGACCTGAAAGTGCACATGGCAGAGTGTGGCGATGGAGACAGCAGCAATGGGAGGCCGTACAGGGACCCATGACAGACTCTGGACCTGGCAGCAGCATGAGGAGGCGGTACGGGGGCCCATGACAGATTACGGGCCTGGCAGCAGCAATGGAGGCCCGTAATCTGCCAGCACCCTATGAAAAATGGAACCCACCACCAGCAGTGTGAGGAGACCTGAAAGTGGCACATGGCAGAGTGTGGCGATGGAGACAGCCTGGCAGCAGCAATGGGAGGCCGTACAGGGACCCGTACAGGGGCCTGGCAGCACACTCTGGACCTGGGGCCCATGAGGAGGCGGGTAGCAGCATGATGGGGGCCAGGACCCATGGCAGATTACGGGCCTGCAGCAGCAAGCAATGGGAGGCCCGTAATCTGCCAGCACCCTATGACAAAATGGAACCCACAGCAGTGTGAGGAGACCTGAAGGTGGCACATGGCAGAGTGTGGCGATGGAGACAGCAGCAATGGGAGGCCGTACAGGGACCCATGAGACACTCTGGACCTGGCAGCAGCATGAGGAGGCGGTACAGGGGCCCATGACAGATTACGGGCCTGGCAGCAGCATGAGGAGTCGGTACGGGGGCCCATGGCAGATTACGGGCCTGGCAGCAGCAATGGGAGGCCCGTAATCTGCCAGCACCCTATGACAAAATGGAACCCACCAGCAGTGTGAGGAGACCTGAAAGTGGCACATGGCAGAGTGTGGCGATGGAGACAGCAGCAATGGGAGGCCGTACAGGGACCCATGATGAGACACACTGGACCTGGCAGCAGCATGAGGAGGCGGTACGGGGGCCCATGGCAGATTACGGGCCTGGCAGCAGCAATGGGAGGCCCGTAATCTGCCAGCACCCTATGACAAAATGGAACCCACCAGCAGTGTGAGGAGACCTGAAAGTGGCACATGGCAGAGTGGCGATGGAGACAGCAGCAATGGGAGGGCTGTACAGGGACCCATGAGACACTCTGGACCTGGCAGCAGCATGAGGAGGCGGTACGGGGGGCCCATGGCAGATTACGGGCCTGGCAGCAGCAATGGGAGGCCCGTAATCTGCCAGCACCCTATGACAAAATGGAACCCACCAGCAGTGTGTGAGGAGACCTGAAAGTGGCACATGGCAGAGTGTGGCGATGGAGACAGCAGCAATGGGAGGCCGTACAGGGACCCATGAGACACTCTGGACCTGGCAGCAGCATGAGGAGGAGGTACGGGGGGGCCCATGACAGATTACGGGCCTGGCAGCAGCATGATGAAGTCGGTACGGGGGCCCATGGCAGATTACGGGGCCTGGCAGCAGCAATGGGAGGCCCGTAATCTGCCAGCACCCTATGACAAAATGGAACCCACCAGCAGTGTGAGGAGACCTGAAAGTGGCACATGGCAGAGTGTGGCGATGAGACAGACAGCAGCAATGGGAGGCCGTACAGGGACCCATGAGACACTCTGGACCTGGCAGCAGCATGAGGAGGCGGTACGGGGGCCCATGGCAGATTACGGGCCTGGCAGCAGCAATGGGAGGCCCGTAATCTGCCAGCACCCTATGACAAAATGGAAACCCACCAGCAGTGTGAGGAGACCTGAAAGTGGCACATGGCAGAGTGTGGCGATGGAGACAGCAGCAATGGGAGGCCGTACAGGGACCCATGAGACACTCTGGACCTGGCAGCAGCATGAGGAGGCGGTATAGGGGCCCATGGCAGATTACGGGCCTGGCAGCAGCAATGGGAGGCCCGTAATCTGCCAGCACCCTATGACAAAAAATGGAACCCACCAGCAGTGTGAGGAGACCTGAAAGTGGCACATGGCAGAGTGTGGCGATGGAGACAGCAGCAATGGGAGGCCGTACAGGGACCCATGAGACACTCTGGACCTGGCAGCAGCATGAGGAGGCGCGTACAGGGGCCCATGACAGATTACGGGCCTGGCAGCAGCATGAGGAGTCGGTACGGGGGGCCCATGGCAGATTACGGGCCTGGCAGCAGCAATGGGAGGCCCGTAATCTGCCAGCACCCTATGACAAAATGGAACCACACCAGCAGTGTGAGGAGACCTGAAAGTGGCACATGGCAGAGTGTGGCGATGGAGACAGCAGCAATGGGAGGCCGTACAGGGACCCATGAGACACTCTGGACCTGGCAGCAGCATGAGGAGGCGGTACGGGGGCCCATGGCAGATTACGGGCCTGGCAGCAGCAATGGGAGGCCCGTAAATCTGCCAGCACCCTATGACAAAATGGAACCCACCAGCAGTGTGAGGAGACCTGAAAGTGGCACATGGCAGAGTGTGGCGATGGAGACAGCAGCAATGGGAGGCCGTACAGGGACCCATGAGACACTCTGGACCTGGCAGCAGCAAGAGGAGGCGGTACAGGGGCCCATGGCAGGTGGCCTGGCAAGCAATGGGAAGCCTTAAAATTGAAGCACCCATGACAAAATGGAACCCACCAGCAGTGTGAGGGAGACCTGAAATAACATGTTTGGGGCATGATTCATGGCGGATTTAGTCAGTTGTGTCAGGAACTGGTGGTTTGAAATCCAGACTAATCCACGCCTGATTCATTTTCACAAACGTGAGTCTCTCCACACTTTGGGTGGACAGTCGTGTCCTCCGCGGAGTTACAATACCTCCTGCCGCACTAAACACGCGCTCCGATGCCACGCTACTGGCCGGGCATGACAGCCTTTCAAGGGCAAATTCAGCTAGTTGGGGCCAAAGGTCAAGTTTCGTTGCCCAGTAGTCAAGGGGATTGTCTACCTCGGTTGGCAGGGTGCTGTCCAAGTAGGCCCAAGCCTGTTGTTTGAGGTCCTGCTCCAGGTCCACCTGACTGCTGCTGCTGCTGCTGCGGCTGGTTAGTAGTTTCCTCACTGCGCTGGTGAAGGAAAGCTACTCATCATCGACTGCAGACTGAGGCAGCCGCTGCTGGTGGAGCTGCCACTGCTCCTCCACCCCACCCCACCCCACCCCTCCCCTGCTGCCATGGCAGCGGAACGCTGAGCGCACAGGGCCCACAGTGTCTGAGGATGGACGTTGGCGCAGAAGGCAGAGACCAACTGACTACATAGGTGGTTTTTATAGTACGTTATTTTGGCCTCCCTCTCAGCAGGTGTGAAAAAGGCCACCATTTTTGAACGGTAGCGAGGGTCCAACAAGGTGGACAGCCAAAAGTCATCCCTCTGTCTGATGGTTATTATTCGGCGCTGTCGCTACGCAAGCAAGCCGAGCATGGGCTATGGGCCATTTGTGCCAAGGAATGCATGAGAGGGACTCCCTGCCTCCATCTCCACAGCATACTGCCACGGTGCGTCTGGGGTCCTCTGTCTCCTCCTCCTCCTCTACCAGATGCTCCTGCTCCTCCACTCCACTGTGTCCGCTGAGTGGAAAAACCACCCATTTCACTCAATAATTCCTGAGCACCAATGTCCTCCTCTACCTCCTCCTCTTCTTCCTGTCCTGTCCTGCCCCCACAGGGGTCATGTGGCGTTGAGATCTGTGCGCCACGTCTACCTGAAACCGCACCCTGACCAGCCCATTGTTAACAGCATTTGTTCCAGGACGTGCAACAGAGGAATGACGTCGTTCATCCCCATAGTCCCTGCCGACTCACGAATAGCGTGGCCTCCTCAAAGGGCCCTGAGCAAGCGGCAGGTGTCACGCATGAGCTGCCAATGGCTGACATCTAAGTTACACAGGGGAGTACCTTTATCCGCTTGTAACATCAGGAAATCGGTGATGGCAGCCTTTCGCTGTTCGAGAAAGGCGGTCTAACATATGTAGGGTTGTAATTCCACCTTGTTGCCAACGTCACAGCAGCATGAGGAGTCGGTACGGGGGCCCATGGCAGATTACGGGCCTGGCAGCAGCAATGGGAGGCCCGTAATCTGCCAGCACCCTATGACAAAAATGGAACCCACCAGCAGTGTGAGGAGACCTGAAAGTGGCACATGGCAGAGTGTGGCGATGGAGACAGCAGCAATGGGAGGCCGTACAGGGACCCATGAGACACTCTGGACCTGGCAGCAGCATGAGGATGAGGCGGTACAGGGGGCCCATGACAGATTACGGGCCTGGCAGCAGCAATGGGAGGCCCGTAATCTGCCAGCACCCTATGACAAAATGGAACCCACCAGCAGTGTGAGGAGACCTGAAAGTGGCACATGGCAGAGTGTGGCGATGGAGACAGCAGCAATGGGAGGCCGTACAGGGACCCATGAGACACTCTGGACCTGGCAGCAGCATGACCAGCATGTCACAGCGGTACGGGGGCCCATGGCAGATTACGGGCCTGGCAGCAGCAATGGGAGGCCCGTAATCTGCCAGCACCCTATGACAAAATGGAACCCACCAGCAGTGTGAGGAGACCTGAAAGTGGCACATGGCAGAGTGTGGCGATGGAGACAGCAGCAATGGGAGGCCGTACAGGGACCCATGACACACTCTGGACCTGGCAGCAGCAATGAGGAGGCGGTACAGGGGCCCATGACAGATTAGGGGCCTGGCACCCACAGCAGCAATGGGAGGCCCGTAATCTGCCAGCACCCTATGACAAAATGGAACCCACCAGCAGTGTGAGGAGACCTGAAAGTGTCACATGGCAGAGTGTGGCGATGGAGACAGCAGCAATGGGAGGCCGTACAGGGACCCATGAGACACTCTGGACCTGGCAGCAGCATGGGAGGAGGCGGTACAGGGACCCATGCCCACACTCTGGACCTGGCAGCAGCATGAGGAGGCGGTACGGGGGCCCATGACAGATTACGGGCCTGGCAGCAGCAATGGGAGGCCCGTAATCTGCCAGCACCCTATGACAAAATGGAACCCACCAGCAATGTGAGGAGACCTGAAAGTGGCACATGGCAGAGTGTGGCGATGGAGACAGCAGCAATGGGAGGCCGTACAGGGACCCATGACACACTCTGGACCTGGCAGCAGCATGAGGAGGCGGTACAGGGGCCCATGACAGATTACGCCCTGGCCTGGCAGCAGCAATGGGAGGCCCGTAATCTGCCAGCACCCTATGACAAAATGGAACCCACCAGCAGTGTGAGGAGACCTGAAAGTGGCACATGGCAGAGTGTGGCGATGGAGACAGCAGCAATGGGAGGCCGTACAGGGACCCATGATACACTCTGGACCTGGCAGCAGCAGCATGAGGGCGGTACAGGGGCCCATGACAGATTACGGGCCTGGCAGCAGCATGAGGAGTCGGTACGGGTGCCCATGGCAGATTACGGGCCTGGCAGATGACGACGAGGCTGCCAGAGTGCGATCAGCGATCCCTCATCATCATCAATTAGGGTCTCCGCCTCACTACTAGCCCCCTCGGCTGCGTGTGGGTCAGGAGACAGACCTTTCTCTAGACCGGCTACCGAGCCACTCTTCTCGCCAGTACTTCTTCGCCTGGCTGCTGAAAGATGCGGATGTCCCCCCGTTCCTGACCGCCCTCTGTTAGCTCTTCCTCACTGTACAGTGGGGCTGAGCCCACAGCATGCGATACTTCGTTTGGTGAGGGAACACCAAAGGACAGGGGCAGGTAGAGGACACGTGATTTCAGTGGGCTTGCTCCCGGGCCATGCCAACTAACGGTTGTGTCTGACGTACCCACCGACCGTTGGCTGTAGGTGTCAGAGGTGACCTGGGAAGAGGAAGACGACCGAGCCAACCAATCGATGACGGCAGGGTTGTCGGTGGAGACACGACCGCTGGATGACACCGGGAGCACTGGCCTCTGGCTGCGACTAGTGCTGCCTCGACCCCTTCCTCTGCTGCCACGTCTGCTCGCTCCTGAAACATTGCCTCCTCTGCCACTCCTCTGCGTGTTGTCTGACATACTCTTTAATTCAACGATTCTGTGTCCCTGAGTAACAATTCTGTGTCCCTGAGTAACAATTCTGATTCTGTGTCCCTCAGTAACAATTCTGTGTCCCTCAGTAACAATTCTGTGTCCCTCAGTAACAATTCTGTGTCCCCTGAGTAACAATTCTGTGTCCCTCAGTAACGATTCTGTGTCCCTCAGTAACAATTCTGTGTCCCTGAGTAACAATTCTGTGTCTGTCCCTGAGTAACAATTCTGTGTCTGTCCCTGAGTAACAATTCTGTGTCCCTGAGTAACAATTCTGTGTACCCCTGAGTAACAATTCTGTGTCCCTGAGTAACAATTCTGTGTCCCTCAGTCCCTGAGTAACTGAGTAAATTCTGTGTCCCTGAGTAACAATTCTGTGTCTGTGTCCCTGAGTAACAATTGTGTGTCCCTGAGTAACAATTCTGTGTCCCTCAGTAACAATTCTGTGTCCCTGAGTAACAATTCTGTGTCCCTGAGTAACAATTCTGTGTCCCTGAGTAACAATTCTGTGTCTGTCCCTGAGTAACAATTCTGTGTCCCTCAGTAACAATTCTGTGTCCCTGAGTAACAATTCTGTGTCCCTTGAGTAACAATTCTGTGTCTGTCCCTAAGTAACAATTCTGTGTCCCTGAGTAACAATTCTGTGTCCCTCAGTAACAATTCTGTGTCCCTCAGTAACAATTCTGTGTCCCTGAGTAACATTTCTGTGTCCCTGAGTAACAATTCTGTGTGTCCCTGAGTAACAATTCTGTGTCTGTCCCTGAGTAACAATTCTGTGTGTCCCTCAGTAACAATTCTGTGTCCCTGAGTAACAATTCTGTGTCCCTGAGTAACAATTCTGTGTCCCTCAGTAACAATTCTGTGTCCCTGAGTAACAATTCTGTGTCCCTCAGTAACAATTCTGTGTCCCTGAGTAACAATTCTGTGTCTGTCCCTGAGTAACAATTCTGTGTCCCTGAGTAACAATTCTGTGTCCCTGAGTAACAATTCTGTGTCCCTGAGTAACAATTCTGTGTCTGTCCCTGAGTAACAATTCTGTGTCCCTGAGTAACAATTCTGTGTCGTCCCTGAGTAACAATTATGTGTCCCTGAGTAACAATTATGTGTCCCTGAGTAACAATTATGTGTCCCCTGTAACAATTCTGTGTCCCTGAGTAACAATTCTGTGTCCCTCAGTAACAATTCTGTTGTCCCAAGTAACTTCTGTGTCCCTGAGTAACAATTCTGTGTCCCTGAGTAACAATTCTGTGTCCCTGAGTAACAATTCTGTGTCCCTGAGTAACAATTCTGTGTCCCTGAGTAACAATTCTGTGTCCCTGAGTAACAATTCTGTGTCCCTGAGTAACAATTTCTGTGTCCCCTGAGTAACAATTCCGTGTCCCCCTGAGTAACAATTCTGTGTCCCTGAGTAACAATTCTGTGTCTGTCCCTGAGTAAAATTCTGTGTCCCTCAGTAACAATTCTGTGTCTCTGAGTAACAATTCTGTATCTGTCCCTGAGTAACAATTCTGTGTCTGTCCCTGAGTAACAATTCTGCGTCCCTGAGTAACAATTCTGTGTCCCTCAGTAACAATTCTGTGTCCCTGAGTAACAATTCTGTGTCCCTCAGTAACAATTCTGTGTCCCTCAGTAACAATTCTGTGTCCCTCAGTAACAATTCTGTGTCTGTCCCTGAGTAACAATTCTGTGTCCCTCAGTAACAATTCTGTGTCTGTCCCTGAGTAACAATTCTGTTTCCCTGAGTAACAATTCTGTGTCCCTGAGTAACAATTCTGTGTCTGTCCCTCAGTAACAATTCTGTGTCCCTCAGTAACAATTCTGTGTCTGTCCCTGAGTAACAATTCTGTGTCCCTGAGTAACAATTCTGTGTCCCTGAGTAACAATTCTGTGTCCCTCAGTAACAATTCTGTGTCTGTCCCTGAGTAACAATTCTGTGTCCCTCAGTAACAATTCTGTGTCCCTCAGTAACAATTCTGTGTCCCTCAGTAACAATTCTGTGTCCCTCAGTAACAATTCTGTGTCTGTCCCTGAGTAACAATTCTGTGTCCCTGAGTAACGATTCTGTGTCCCTAAGTAACGATTCTGTGTCCCTAAGTAACGATTCTGTGGCCCTAAGTATCGATTCTGTGGCCCTAAAGTCTCTCTGGCCCTAACTCTGTCCCTAATACAGACAGGTCTGTCTCTCTTGAATGACCGGAGGCTAATGGAGAATTGTAAGATGGCCGCAATTTATAGCTCCACCATTACACAGTGCTGGCTGGCTGGCTGCTGATTGGCTAATGCGATCACATGTCATGAATAAATGCATTATGGGTTAGCGCGCCTTGTCTGCGCGCCTTCCCAGAGTTCCCCGCTCCGTCGCCACACATGTCGCCGCCATTTTTGGGAAAATTAGATTCGTGCATCCGAAGTTGGCTAATTTTCGGATTCGGCGCGAATCGAATATTTCCCAATATTCGAAACGAATTCCACTTCGCCATGTTCGATTCGCTCATCTCTAGTCACCAGTATCAATTGCGCAATATGCAGCTGAAGTGGCATCATAATTTTGAATGGCTTACGTCATTAGATGGGTGAATATATCATGGAAACTAGAGCCAATCAACATTTTTTAGGGTCATTTTCGTTTTCAGCACCCCAAAATTATGTAAGATTAGCTAATTTTATGCCCAAAACTTTTTACCTGTTGAACAGTGTAATAGACCCTTATTTTTCTTATCAAGCCCTCCTGTTTACTTTCTTTCTTCAGTGCTTTTTCAACTTATAAAATGTTTTAGTTAATATTTATTGAAGAGGAATACGTAAAGTTCAATATAATCACATTACAACTAAGCTCACTGAGCAGTGATAGAGCTTATGATGCTCCAGGGTCTTTAACAGAACACATTGAACATTTTAGATCAAGTTCACTGGAGTTGCTCACTGTCCAAAAGACTCAACAAACCATAAATGGAAAAGAGCAAATATTTTGGGACAGCCATAAATTTCATCAAGTTTTTCCAGGATCATATAATTTTTACTGTATTCTTCACAAACATGGCTTATGTTAGCATTTAGGAACATTATAAATTTGACCCAAACACAAATAATACAGTTTGGGAAAATGGCAAACTAATGTGGCCATTAATTGATATATCAACCAGTCACCAATAATGCATCTCCTGACCTCTGAACTGTGATCAAGTGACTTACAAGGGCCAATCAATGAATCAGGGTACACATCAGCCTTTTGTCAGTGTGTTGGGGAGACTGGAAGCAGACAGGGAGAGAGTATAGAATGTTGGCAGCAGGGGCGGACTGACAACTCATGGGCCCCCCGGGCAATAGGGGATAATGGGGCCCCTGTGTCCTTGTCCAAACTCAAAAAAGCCTATGAAAAAAGGTACCAGGGGCATCTCATGGGGCCCCCCTACTGACCCCGGGCCCTCGAGCAGTGCCTAAGTTTCCAAATGATCAGCCCGCCCCTGGTTGGCAGGGAAAGATAACTGTGGCTATACTAATAAAGAGTGCTGAAAATTCCACTACTATGTCTACCATGAGCAATATACAGTCAGAGTGTGTTGTAGAGACCTGGGGTAGATAGTGACAGATCACAGAGTGTTTGCAGGAAATGTTAATTGTTAGTATACTACTATACAGTAAGAACAGTCTGGATAAAAGCGCACAGATGTGTCCCAAAGGAAATAAGTGAATGGTATATGTCAACTGTGATTGGTGGGGAAAAAACTCACTGCTGCCATGGTGAAAACACATTGGTTTGTGGAAGTATGAACAGGAGCCAGGCGCTGTGTAGTTTTGTGATAAAAGTAATACACCTTACAGTTGCAAGAAAAAGTATGTGAACCCCTTGGGATTAGGTGGAGTTTTGCATGAATTGGGCATAAAATGTGCTCTAACATCATCTAAGTCACAACAATAGAAGAACACAGTCTGCTGAACATAATACTACACAAACATTAGATGTTGCCATGGTTTAATTGCACATAACATGTAAACATTCACAGTGCAGGGAGGAAAAAGTATGTGAGGCCCTCGCTTAATGACTTCTCCCAGAGCTAATTGGAGCCAGGAGTGAGCCAACCTTGACTCCAATCA